TCAAAAACAATAAAATCCCTTAAAAATTCTGTTAAAATCTTAAAAATATCGAATGTAGCTATTATATTAGGGACTATACGACGACATGAACCTGCGTAGGTAACATTTGTCATAAGCCATTACAATATTCAAAGGCGAAACTAAAAAAACGAACTTCAGATATTAAATTTGAAACAATTCTGATGAAAAAATGTCCCTAAAAATCATTAAAATACCGAATATCGGGAGGTACCGTTATATGGGGGCTTTACGAATAGGTGAACCTGCACAGACAATTTTCTGTCTTAGGGTGTAGTATCCATTACGAATTTCAAATACCAAATTTGAAACTATTCCGGTGAATAATGTCGCTAAAATCATCAAAATACCGAATATCGGGAGGTGCCGTTATATGGAGGCTATACGAAGACTTGGACCTGCACAGACAATTTTCTGTCCTAGGCTGTAGTATCCATTATGAACTTCAAATACCAAATTTGAAACAATTTCGGTGAATAATGTCGTTAAAATCTTCAAAGGTCCGAATATCGTGAGGTACCGTTATATGGGGGCTATACCAAAACGTGGACCTACATGGCCCATTTTCAATACCAAAAGTGCTGCAGACATAACATACATTTGAGCAAAATTTTATCAATCTACTTCAATTCGTTCGGAAGCTAGAGTGATTTCCACAGACGGACAGAAGGATAGACGGACGGACATCGCTAAATCGACATAGAATTTTATGCTGATCAAGAATACATATACTTTGTGGGGTTTATCTAAAATGTGTATTTCGACGTGTTACAAACGGAATGACAAACTTAATATACCCTCCACACTATGGTGGAGGGTATAAAAAGTACGGGTATGTTTGAGTTATATTCAAATGCATTAGTTGGGCAATGAAGGGCAGAGTATCTTTGTATTTAAAGTGTATTTAATGAATAACTGACTGACTCACCGAGAATCAACGCCCAGGCGAAACCTAGAAGAACCTAGAAGAAAATTTACACCAAAACTGACCCGGTGCGTAGGTGTGTGATAAGGCTGAGTTTTTGGAAATTCGCACTTAAATGGTACGAAAAGTAGTAAAATGTACTGAAAAATGAATACTTTGTATTGGACAAACGGATTAAGCTAGAACTCTGAGAAATGAGCTAAAATTCTGACCTTTAGAATGAGAGTCACTGATGGAGTGTATGATAGATGTACCAAAGGGTTTCTGGAAATTCGCACTATAAGTGTATGAAAAGTACTAAAGTATACAACATTTGGTACCATTTCGTATCATGCGAACGGTTAGAGCAAAAAAAACTTGAAATTTGGAATGGGAATCAAGGTTGAGGAGTAGACTTGATGTAGGGAGGTAGTTTTGAAAGTGTTTACTTATGTATATGAAAAGTACTAAACAGTACTAAATTTAGTACAATTTGAATTTGGAGGAACGGAGAGAGCTGGAATCCAGAAATTTAAAATTAATATTACTGGCCGAGTGTAGGATTGGGATATGGAGGAAGTTTTCGAAATTTGTCCTCTTGTGCACGAAAAGTACTAAATGGTACTAAATTTGTTACAATTTCGATTTGGGTGAACCTTTAGAGGTGGAATACTGAAATTTGTATATAACTTTACTATTACATTGTAGGATTCGGGTATATAGTATGTTTTCGAAATTTTTACTTATGTGTACGAAATGGTACTTAATTTGGCAAATTTATATTTCTTCAGGGAACCGATAGAAGTTTGGCTTTGGAAATTCGTACTTTTGTGTATTAAATGGAACTAAATTTGGTACAAATTGGAATTGTGTGTGAACCCATAGATCTGGAATTTTGAAATAAGATTTCTATGGAGAGAGTATTGGCAATTTTGAGTGTAGGATTGGGATATGGAGGAAGTTTTCGAAATTCGTACATACAGGATGAGATAAAAAACTGCAACAAAGTCAAACGCCATAATTTTTATTTTTTTTTTTTTAAATTTATTGAATGAAAGTAAAAAATGTCAAATTTTAGAAGAAGTTTAGATTTGTTCAAATTGGTCATCGTTTGGTACGAATTATGGCCTTCAACGGCCAATGAAACCGCCATCATACGCTGCCCGAATGTTGCTCTACGGTAGTTTGCCTCATTCCCGGCGAAGCGATTGCTTGAGGTGATCGACACTTTGGTATTTTTTAGTGCCAACCTTGCTTTCCAAAATACCCCAGACAAAATGGTCCAACGGATTGGCATTCGCAGATTTTGGCGAGCGCTGGAAATGAAGCGAGGAACCTCATTGTCTAACCATTCTTGGGTGGCCCGTTCTGAATCCGATGATGCGATGGATGATGGAATGTTCAAGGTCTGCGGCCAACATGTTTTCGTGCCCAAGACTTTAATACACCCCTCTAGAATATTTTCGCGATAATATTCAGCATTTAATCGACCATGGGATTATTACTAGCGCAGAAAGACCATCGGCTGTTATGGCGGCCTACACCATCACCATGTTCGGCGCTTGAGTTCTGGTGGCCAACCGAAGGGGCACATTTTCAGCTGACCCCGTTGGCGAGTAAACACGATCATTTTGTTTGTTTACAATCTGCTGGACAACGAATGTTTTCCCATCGGAGAAAACCCAAATTCAGCAGTTCACCACTTTCGGCTAAGCGAAGCAACTCTTTAGCTCTTTTGAGTCTATTTTCTTTCTGTTGCGGTGTAAGTTCTTGCACTTTTTGGAATTTCAATGACTTTACCACGAGCTTAATTTTCAATATTTGCCGAATGTAATATTGCTCACAAGCCATTTTTTGGCCATTGCGACGCGGGTTTCGATCAAATCGATCCTTTACTTTTCGAATCATTTTTGCTGATGTTGCTGTTTTCTTCCGTTAATTTCCTTGACGTCGGGCTTCACTACCAGTATCACGGTAACGAGCGATGGTATGAGACACAAAAGACTTATTCACAATTAAATGCTGGAGTGCTCTAACGACAGCCACTTGTGGTTTTCCAGCCAAATATCAGAGGAAATCACACTATCACGCTTTGATTCCATCACGAATAACTTTTGTTCTGGAAAATTCTCACCAAAATGTTTTTGCACGCTTGTAAACAATATAATGACCTGTCATTGTTGTATGTAGGAAGTTTCGGAAATGCGTTCTTATGTATATTCGGTACAACTTGGTACTAGGTGAACAGATAATGTTTGAAATCTGAAATTTGGTATTAGGGTCGCTGTTCATATGTATGCGTACTATAATTATACGAAAAGTACAAAATTGTACTAAATGTGGTATCGGGGGAAGGAATAGGACCGGAATCCTCAAATTTAACCTTAAGGTCACTGTTGGTATCTGAGGTTGAGATGAGTAGGTGTTTTTGTAAATGTGTACTATAATTGTACAAAAAGGTACTAAATTTTTTATAGGGTGAAGGAATAGAAATAAAGTCCTGAAATTTGATATAGATGCCACTGTTGGTGTCTGTGGTTAAGATATGAAGGTGGTTGTAAAAATGTGTACTATTTTTGTACGGAAAGTACTAAATAGTACTACATTTGGAATTAGGTGAAGGGATAGAGATAAAATTCTGAAATTTGATATTTGGATTACAGACGGTATCGGTGTTTGAGATTTGAAAAGCGTCCAATATTTTTACGAAAAGTACTAAATGGTACTAAATTTCATATTGGGTAAAGGAATATGGCTGGAATCCCTACATTTGATATTGTGGTCTCTTTTGGTATCTGGAACTGAGACATGGAGGTTGTTTTGGAATTGTTCGAAAATTACAAAGTGGTACTAAATTTCGTATTGGGTGAAGGGATTGGGCTGATATCATGAAATTTAATATTGAGGTCTCTATTGGTAACTGTGATTGAGATATGGAGGTGGTTTCGCAAATGTGTACTATAATTCGTAAAAAAGTACCAAATAGTACACAATGTGATATTTATACTAGATTTGGTAATGGGAAAATTAAAAAAAAACCAAAATTCGAAAATTGGATATTAAGGTCACTGTTGGTATCTGAGGTTGAGATATGGAGGTTGTTTTGGAAATGTGTACTATAATAGTACGAAAAGTACTAAATTTGGTATCGGGTGAAGGGATAGGACTGGAGTCCTCACATTTGATATTGGTGCCTGTTGTCATCTGGTTTTGAGATATGGAGATGGTTTTGGAAATGTGTACTATAATTCTGCAAAAAGTACTAAGTGGTAATAAATTGGGTATCGGGCGAAGGGATGGGGCTAAAATCTTCAAATTTGATATGGAGGCCTCTGATGGTATTTAGAATTAAGAGATGTGAGTTGTTTTGTAATTTTGTACTTTAATGGGTCGAAAAGTGAAGGGATACACGGATAGTATCCTTAAATTTAATATTTAAGTCTTTGTTGCTGTCTAAGGTTGAGATACGGTTATGGTTATGGATATGGCTTTCGAAATACATACCATAATTGTTCGAAAAGTACTGAATGGTACTAATTATGGATTACTCACTGGAGGAAGGCGAGATGTAGCTTGTTTTGAATATGCGTACTAAATGTTACTAAATTTTTGATTCGGTGGGACAGAGCTGAAATTTGACATTGGGTCAGTGTTGGTTTCTAGGATTTTCGAATGGAGACGTTAAAGTAGTTTTGGACAGAAAAAATGGATGTGGGTACATTGTGCCCTAATACCCCTCTCGGTAAAAAAGGTGAACAAAAAGGTATTCAAAAAACGAAAAATTTTGGAATTCTGAAAATTTTGTTTTGTTTAAACATTTTGTCAAACTTAACAAATTTCTGCATTCTAAATTTAAAAAATTTGAACTTTTTTTTAAAAAATTTTAATTTTTTTTTATTTTTAAAAATTTTAAATTTTTTTTTAATTTTCAATTTTTTTTTAATTTTTATTTTTTTTTTAATTTTTCAATTTTTTACATTTTTTAATTTTTTAAGATTTTTTTTAAAATTTTTTCGATTTTTTTAAAAACTTTTAAATAAACCTAACTTTTGTTTTTCTTTCTCCTCCTCTCTTTCAGATCAAAAGCGAAGAAGTGGTCGAGGCCTATATAGAGCGATGTAAACAGGTAAATCCGCTGATCAATGCCATTGTGCAGGATCGCTTCGAAGAAGCTCTGGAAGAGGCACGTGAAGTTGATCGGGTCATTGCAATGGGTATTAACAGCGAAGAGGAAATGGAAGAGAACACCCCGCTACTTGGTATACCCGTGACGGTCAAGGAATCGATTGCCGTCAAGGGTATGAGCAATCAAACGGGACGCGTTTTCAAGACACCACAAATTGCTAAAGCCGATGCTCCAGTGGTGGAACAAATCAAGCGATCCGGTGGCATTATCCTCTTGGTCTCCAATACTCCCGAACTGTGTTTGCTATGGGAAACCTATAATAATGTGACAGGTCAGACACGGAATCCTTACGATTTGAAAAGGACACCGGGTGGTTCATCGGGCGGAGAGGCCGCCTTGCTGGCCAGTGGTGCTTCCCTGCTGGGTCTTACATCGGATATTGGTGGTTCGTCACGTCTGCCCGCCATGTTTAGCGGTATTTGGGGCCACAAACCAACACCCTATGCTGTGTCGTTTAAGGGCCATCATCCCACCTCGGATTTCCCAAAATGGGGTGATTTCTTTACCATTGCCCCCATGACACGATATGCCAAGGATTTGCCACTCCTGCTGAGATGTATGGTTGATCCGAATGGCACAAAACTAACGCTGGAAAAGGAAATAAGTGTAACTGGAATTAGGTTCTTTTTTATGGACAATGATGGCCCGTCGGGCATGATGCGTCCCCTTAGCCGTGATCTGCATGCCGCCATTAATCGGGTGGCCAATGATTTCAAGGCGAAGCGGGTGAATATACGCAAAATGAAATGGTCATTGGATATATCGCTGTCGGCCATGTTGACCATGAAAAACATCGAGACAATTTATCACAAAACCGAAGAGGGTGAGCGGCCAAAGACCATCTGCACTGAAACGGTGAAATATTTCATTGGCTGTTCGGACAGTATTTTGCCATCGGTGATATTTGGCCATTTGCAGAATTTCATGAAAATCATACCGAATTCGCGGCACAAACATCTGGCCACGATTATTGAGGCCCTTAAGACTGAATTCAAAGAACTGCTGGGCAACGATGGCGTCTTCATTTATCCCACATTTCCCAATACAGCCCATCAGCATTATCAGATTTATCACAAGTTGCTGGAGCCCATGTATATGGCGATTTTCAATACGCTTGGATTGCCGGTGACAAATTGTATGATTGGCCTGGATCGCCGTAGGCTACCGATGGGCATACAGGTGGTGGCCAATCCGGGACAGGATCATTTATGCCTGGCCGTGGCCCGAGAAATGGAGCGACGTTATGGTGGCTGGGTGAGGCCACCCTCGGAGGATTCTAGTAAACGTATTGACTAGACACTGATTTTTTTGTTAATTATTAGAAATATCCGGAAAAAACGTATCTATACATAATTATATTAATATTCATTTATACAAACACACACACACATACAAACATAAACCAATTTAGTTTAATTTTATACATTTTTTTGTTTCCCATTTTTTTCGATTTTTTTTTTTGTTTTGTTTGTTGCCACAATTATTTTCCCATCATTGAAATCCATCACATAATTGTATTTTTTTTTTTTTTTGTATTAATTTCACTATTTAAATATTTTCGAAAGTTCGCAATTTTTTTTAATTACAAATTCCATTTTTAGAATTTTTTAATTTTTTTTTTTTGATATGAATCTCTAAAATCTCATTAATTCAACGGATTGCTTCTTTATATAAATGAAATAGTAAAAAGAGAGAGGATTTTAATTTGATTGGAAAAAATTATAAAAAGAGAGAGGATCTCTAATTGAGTTTCTAAAGATTTGTTAGAATTGAAACCAACATCACGTGGAGTAAAGCTTTTGCAAGGGAAAGGCAGGCTACGAACATAAGGCGAATTTAAAATTTTAAAATTTAAATAAAAATCGAAACCGAAATTACAGAACAATTATTAAACAGAGAGTAAGAGGGTTTTTATCAATAGAACCAAAAAACCAGTAAAAAAGTATCGGTCGGTTTTGCCGATAGTTGTATACCTTCAGCCCTCTTCACTCTCTATGGAGTGGGTTTTGAAAGAATGGGTCAATATTGTCCTTATCGTATCGGACCTAAATAAATATGATATAAATATTATTATAGCAGATGGATATAGCAATTGAAAGGAATCGCTGAGTTGTTTCGCAATTTATGACAGATAAAAATATTGAAAATTGTGTCCCTTTGCGGGTGAGAAGGTGTTCGCAGAAATATAGCATCTTCACAACAGTTCTGGTGTTAGCAAAAATGTTTGTATGTATGGAATTTGGAGAGAGTTGGATTTTTATTTCGCTTTCTTCGAGCGTTATGTTTTTCAAAATTCGATAATTGCTTCCCTTTTCTGTGCAGAAAATATATATTTTTAAAATTTCGACCATTTGTGTGGGAGGTACCAGAAGAAGTGGACCGATATACTCCACCTTAACACCAGACCTTGGACTAATGAAGTGATTGGGATGTGTGAAATTTGAAGACAATCGGACTCTTACATTACATTTTTTGAAAGTTGTAATTATTCAAAATTTTGACCATTTGTGGGGGAGGCACTTGAAGGAGTGAACCGATATTGTCAATTTTTTCACCTAACCTAGCACAGATGCAAATATTAGGATTTGCAAAATTGAAGCAAAATCCGATTATCCTTTCTCTTTCAGTGCAAAGAATATATTTTTTGAAAATTTCGACCTTTTTTGGGGGAGGTACCAGAAGGAGTGAATCGATATTTCCCATTAGGATTTGCAAAGTTGGAGCATAATCGGATGATCTTTTTCTTTCTGTGCAGTAAAATATATTCTTTGCAAATGTCGACTTTTTGTGGGGGAGGTACCAGAAGGAATGGAACTATATTTTCCATCTCCAAACTCCATCTAAGTTTAACAATAATATTACTGTGTTTGAGTCAAATCGGATGCTCCCTTCGTCGGTTATCGTGCACACCAGACAGCCAGATAGACAAATGTCCAGAAAGATACGTTTTGGTCTTATTAAATGATATATACCCTCTGTAGCCATATGGCTGAGGATATAGTAGTGGTTTGAACATGACGTTAATAGCTTTTATGCGACTTAGATATGAGAGGATTGAAATAATAAATATGTTTAGAATTACAGAACAAATTGAGTTTCCACCAAAATGTGGAAAAAAATCTGAAATTTTTAGCGAGCGTAAAGGTGAGAATATATAAAGCGCTTTTTTGACCGGCTTAAGTCATCGGCCGGTTCCTTCGAAAATAACAATGGGACGTAAGACCAACATCGAACTAAGTCAACCAAAAACTCATGTGTTCCTCTACGAAGAAGCCAGCCGATGACTTAAGCCAGTCAAAAAAGCGTTTTATGTATTCTCACCTTAAGACTTTTTTTATCCTGCTAACACAGCAAAATATTTTCGGGCGGAAATCAGTTCTTTCCTAATTTTTTTTCGAAATTTAAACTGGCCTTTGACTTGAGATTTTTTGTTTTATCGTGTAATCAAGATAAATGCACCAAGTTTGGTATTCTTCAGACTCCGCATCAGTTTCTCTCACCTTTAATCTCTTAGATACGTTTGAGGGACTTGCGAGATTATCAGTTGGGCCGTATTTGACAGTATCGTTAAGACAGCAACACCTCTGTAAATTGAGAAATGACCAGCAAATTGTGGAAGTAACTCGAAAGACTCGTGGAATGGGAGAGACTCGAAACTAAAAGATCTCTTAGGTAGCAGGGAATGATTTCTTTCCGAAATTACAAACTAATCTGGCTAAAGTCGGGCAAAATCGAGACTTGCCTGAAATCAAAATCGATTTTAATCAAATTTAGTTTAAAAAAATCAATTTTCAAAAATAAAGCTTGAAAAGTCAACTCTTTTCAAAATCAATTTTTAGCTGATTGGAAATTGTTGGGGTCAAAAATTCAAAAGTCGAAACGGACACCGCGGCAATTTCACCCATCTTTCGTATGGCATTTTCAGTTGGACCAGGTTTAAATCAGTAATTGACTTTATCGTTTAAACACTCTTCCCAAGGTAGACCGCTTGAAGCTGGGGGGGGAGGTTGTCTCATAATAAAGAGAAGATGAAGAGAGCAAGGGATGTTTTTTTTTTCGAAATTACGACCGAATCTTGAGGCCAGCCACTAGGAGAATGGGTCTAAAGATCTCTAAGATGGAAGTTGACAGACTATCTTCAAAGCCATTTGACTGCTGATGTGCCTTTTCTCTACAAATTCTCCTCTAATCCTGTTTTGCCAGTCATCATTTTCCATTGAGACGCAGTCCACCGCAATGCACAGAAGCGGACATAACTCGAAGGGGGATTTTGGAAAAAAAAACTTGTAGTTCTGTAATTTAGTGTTAAGAGGTCTAATTTTATTAGAGATTTGTTTCCACGAGACGGAATTCACCATTTTTCCGAGGTCCAGCCCTCTTCATGACCGCCTCAAAGTATTAGTCGGAAAGGTTTTTTAAAGTTAGGTCAGTTAGGTTAGGCGATGTTGAAATGACAGTGCAGTGATTTTCTTGTCAGACGAATGTGAGAGCTATATAGAACCTGATGGGACGATATTTCTAGGAATGCAAATACGACGTCATTCCGCTTAGAATATAGTTGACGAAGTGATATTATGATATTGCTAAGATTTTCATGACATCCCCACTTTTTACGTTGGGCACCATTTTATGGTATCGATTACACAATGTTGGAACGACAGTCTATCAGTTTTCTTGTCGGACGGAAGTGGGGGGACGTTATGTTATATGAGGTCGAAAATTTCTCTACTCTGCCAAAAATATCATGTGAATTTGTGTTTGGCCTTTAGGTTTTATATTGGGCGCCATATTGTTATCGGCTGAATTTTGGCATTTAAAAGCCTTTGATCTCATTCTTTAATGAAAGTAACAATAAATTTGAATCTTGAGCTGTTAATGGGTGCTTAAGCTATTTAAAAACAATTTTCGCCACAAGCTAACGTTTTACGTTGGGCGCCATATCATGCTATTGCTCAAATGCAGGTATTTTAAAGGGTTTCACTACATTTTGGAGGGTTCCTTTGGAGATAAATGAGAGTCCAGTGGAGTTAGACGATGTTAGAATGACAGTAAATCCATTTTGTTGTCGGACGAAAGTGGGAAGTCGTTTTTCCTTGAAGCTCTAAGAAAACCCTGTTATTCTGAATTTGCGAGTGGTTCTTAGGTGTGAGGTTGAACGCCATATTGTGGTATAAATTTGAATCTTGACTTCTTAATGGATACCTAAGCTATTTGAAAACAATTTTCAGGACAGGCTCACATTTTTTGTTGGGGTCCATAGTTCAGTTTTCTTTTTTAAGGTTTTCACTATATTTTGGGACGCTGTCTTTACAAATCTAGGTTACGATGTTGAAATGAATCTACATCCATTTCCTTGTCGGGCGGTAGTGAGGAGACGTTTTTCCTAAAAGATTGAAAAAATTATCCACCCTACAATTGACGATGCGATTTGTGGGTAAATTTGTGAGTGGTTTTAGGTTGGGCGCCATATTATGTTCTCGCTCAATTTCGGTCATTTTAATGGCTTTCACCACATTTTAGAATGAGATATAAATCGTGAGATATTACAGAGGATTTAAGCTATTTAGAAACAATTTTAAGCACTGGCTCACGTTTTACGTTGGGCGCCATATTATGATATCGCTTAAGTTCAGGCATATTTAGAATTTTTCACTACAATATGGAAGTGTTCCTTTAGAAATGTAGGTTAGTCCAGTTGGGCTATATGATGTTGGCCTGGGAGATTTAAAATGTCTTCAATCTGTTTTGAATGCCGTTGAGAGTGTCATTGTGATTTTTTTGTTCATTGAGGTTGGGCGCCACATTATGATATCACCCAAGTTCAGGTATTGTAAATGTTTTTCAGTACATTTCACAACGGAATTACCAACCAATTTAAATATTGAATTGGTATAAGCAACTTTTTTGTAAAGGCCATGTTTTACGTTGGGCGCCATATAATTGCATTGCCCTAGTAGAGGTATTTTACAGATTTTCACTACATTTTTCAACGGAAGTATCTCTAATTTGGAATTTGGAGTCGTAGGCTGATCAACATAGATCTAAGTTTTGTTTTGAAACTCCCTCTTCTCCTTGTTTTTTTTTTTTAATAACTTCCTTTGCCGCAGCCGATTTCATGTATTTTATAACGTTTTCCCTTCGGAATTGGCTGAATTTTTGTACAATGATTTATCAAAAAAGGAAAGAAGACCTTTTATTGGTTCTCAGCACATACTCCCAACGCATTCCGCATAGTTTCTTTTTTTAAAGTTCTCAGTGAGCGCCATTTTTTGTTTTTAGCTCCATAATCCTCTTGTTTTACTATTTCCAAAACTAAATTTTATTCAAAATTTCATATCATAATCAATCATCTTTACTACTCTAAGTTAGTAGCTATGTAAATATTTTTAATATTATTTGTTTATTTTAAATTTTATAATTTTTTGTTAATATATTTTAGTTATTTTTTTATTAAGAAAAATAATTAGTTTTCTTATTTGCTCACTGTCGAAGTATTTTTTTTGTATGCTACATCACCAACAGAGTCGCAATCACCATTTTCATGACCAAGAAAATTTTAAAAATTTAAAAAAATTAACATTTTTATACATTTTTTTAAGCAGTATCATCAGATATAAAATACAACATATATATGTTTTTATAATTCATTGATTTTGTATATAGCAATAACTATATATATATATGTGTAACAATTTAAATAAAGAAATCTCTAAATAAAAACGAAAAACCAAAAAACTGAACAAAAATTAATGGCAATGTTTTTTTGTTTTCATTAAATTTATGTTTTTTCACTTAAATTGACGATAAGATGTGGAAAATTTAATTAGAGTGATTAGTGCACCCACCCCAAAACCAAAAACTATAGCAGTTGACCTCCAACTAATGCAGTGGAGTTTTTTTTGTTACATTTGGTTAATACAGGCATATAATACATGTGTATGTACATAGAGAGGAGGTAAGTAACCGACAGTTAACTCCAAACAATTGCAAATTTTGTTTGGTTTGAAAAATTTATTTAAAAAAACAGTAAAGTCTTAGAGTCGGGCGGGGCCGACTTTATGATACCCTACACCACTTTGCTAATTTAGAAGAGCTCCATAAAACAATTAAAAATTTTTATGGGAGAATTAAATCAAACACGCTGTGATTATAATTATAATTTAAAGTACAAAGGACTAGATATGCCGAAGCATTTGTATCTCTTAAATTCGGACTTGGTGACCATTTGGTGACCAATTAATTTGAAATCGGATAAAGATATATATGGGAACTATATCCAAATCAGAACCGATCTTGATAAAATTTGACAAAGATATTTCTGAGCTGTAATTGATATATTTCCCTGAATATTGTTGTGCATATTACGGCTGTGGGTAACAAATACAAAAAATCTGATGAACAATATATATAGGAGCTATAGCTATGTCTGCACCGATCTTCACCAAATTTGACATGCTAGCTTCTAGACTCAATTCGATCGTATGTGCCAAAATCCATACCATTTGGGCAAATATTTGACGTTTGGTGCACAAAAAAAGGTTAATCGGACGAGGTTATATATAGGAGATATATCCAAATCCGAACCGATATCGATAAAATTTAGCAAATGTATTTCTGAGCTGTATTTGATGTATTTCCCTGAATATCGTTGTTACGGAGTGCATATTACGGCTGTGGGTAACAAATATAACAAATCGGATGAACAGTATATATAGGAAATATTGTTGTTGTTGTATATATATATATATATATATATATATATATATATATACTACTTATTTTCAGGCCTAATTTGATTGTATGTGCAAATTCCATACTATTCGGGCTGATATTACACGTTTGGTGCACAATAAAAGGCAAATCGGACGAAGATATATATGGGAGCTATATCTAAATTTTTAACGATTATCTCTAATTTCAATAGGGTTCGTCCTTGGGCCAAACAAATGTTGTTTGGAAAATTTCATTTTAGCGAATTTATTCACCGGAATCGTTTCAAATTTGGCATTTGAAGTTCAAAACGGATACTAAACCCCAAGACAGAAAATTGTCTGTGCAGGTCCACGTCTTCGTATAGCCCCCATGTAACGGTACCTCCCGATATTCGGTATTTTGATGATTTTAGCGACATTATTCACCGGAATTGTTTTAAATTTGGTGTTTAAAGGTCGTAATGAATACTTCAGCCTAAGGCAGAAAATTGTCTATGCAGGTCCACGTCTTCCTATAGCCCCCATATAACGGTACCTCCCGATATTCGGTATTTTGATGATTTTAGGGACATTATTCACCGGAATTTTTTCACATTTTGTATTTGAAGTTCGTAATGGATACTTCAGCCTATGCCAGAAAATTGTCTGTGCAGGTCCACGTCTTCGTATATCTCTCATATAACGGTACCTCCCAATATTCGGTATTTTGATGATTTTTGCGACACTATTTACCGGAATTGTTTCAAATTTGGTATTCGAAGTTCGTAATGGATACTACATCCTAAGACAGAAAATGACCCATGTACATCTTCGTATAGCCCCCATATAACGGTACCTCCGGATATTGGGTATTTTGGTGATTTTAGAGGCATTATTTATCGGAACCATTCCAAATTTAGTATTTGAATTTCGTAAGGAATGCTACAGCCTATGACAGAAAATTTTCTGTGCAGGTCCACGGTATTCGGTATTTTGGTGATTTTAGCTACATTATAGACAGATTTTTTCCAAGTTTCGCATTGGAATATTGTAATAGCTTGTGACAAAGTTGCCAATGCAGGTCCACGTCATTCGGTATTTTTAAGATTTTAACAGAATTTTTAACGGATTTTATTTTTTGAAAATTGCCAATTTTTTTGCGAAATTGTAGAAGGTATTTAAAGTTCGGCAGAACTTACAGCTTTTTTACTTGTTTTCTTATAATGACGATATTTTCTTCTAACCTAGAGAACCTTGTGTAATCATATATTTGATTTTGGTTTTTTAAGTGATAAGCATGTACCCAAATCAGAGATGGGAGAGATGTTTTCTAAGCAGTCGAATTTGACGTATTTTAAAGATTATCCAGCCAAGTTTTTCTGTTTCATTTTTTAAGACTATAATGTATATAATTAATTGTCTCCGAAAAATATTTTTTTTCCAAAAACCAAAAACCCAATTTCGACTTCCATTTTTACGGAATCAACTGTTGTTGCATGGCAAGTAAGTATGTTTTCACATTCCATAAATGTACATATGTACACATTGTAACTTCGAACAGACCAGCAAAATGTAAAAAAATCAATAAATAATTACAGTGTTTAATGTTTTCTCAATAAAACGAACAAATTTGTCAATATTAGAGTGCAAGCAACTCAGAGAGAAAATAAATTTAAATTACAATTAAATCGGAAAAATTGTAAATAAGTGGGTTAATAAAAATATTGTGATGTGTGATATTTGAAGATAATCGGACTCTTACATCACATTTTATGAGAGTTGTGATTATTCAAAATTTTGACCATTTATGGGGGAGGTACTTGATGGGGTGGGCCGATATTTTCCATTTCCACATTTGCAAATTGGGGCAAAATCGGAGTACACTTTCTCCTTTTGTGCAAAAAATATATTTTTTGAAAATTTCGACCTTTTGTGGGGGAGGTACCAGAAGGAGTGAACCGATATTTCCCATCTTCGAACTCGATCTAAGTTTGACAAAAATATTTCGATGTACCCAGTTTGGACCAAATCGGATACTCCCTTCGAGAGTTATCGTGCGCATCAGCCAGACAGACGGACGGAACGACGGACATCGCTAGATCGACTCCAAATGTTCTGAAACGGATTTGGACCAAAGAGACCTAGGGTCTAAAACCGTTATTTCGAATAGACACCTTTTGACCGTATCAAATTGTATATACCCTCTGTAGCCACATGGCTGAGGGTATAAAAATTTAGATTCCAGTGTATATCGATATATACATGTGGGATAATTAGCAATTTGGGTACTCAATGCTCGCATTTATATATATCCCGCATTAATCCCGCATTTATATATATATTTTTAATTCGTATCCGCTTTTCGATCAATTTGGCCGGAATTATATCAAATGTATCATGGGAGCAAAATTCATTTTTTTCAATCTAAACAGACTTTTTTTGGTATTGTCGCATTCCGCATTTGAATTTTTCGAAAAAATGTGCCGACATAAAAAGGAGTGTTGAATAAATTTATTAGCCACATTTGCATTTAAATCTCGAATGAAAAATCGATTGACATGTTTTGATTTTTCGTTCCTTTGATTTTTCCACTTCGTTTCTAACACAAGCTGGCGATGCATGCGGACCAATGCTACCGACAAAAATTTTATGGCCAAAATTTGTTTTTTTTTTTGTTCGAATTCTATCTTAAAATCGTCAAGAAGAAACATAAATTTTGTTATTGTTGTTCAACGGCGTTGTGTTGTGTTTGAATGGTTGGATGTTCGTTTGGTTTTTGAGTTTTTGGTTCTGGTTGAGTGGCACAAGGCCGTTTGCCGTTTGTGTTGTCTTGCGTTGTAAAGTTGTATCAGGCATGGGGTTGATTGCATAACTTCAGTATGCTGCCAAACTTTGTGGTTGGTGTGGTGGTTCAAATATCTAACGAATGTCTTTGAAGAGCTGTTAAGCTGGGCTTGAGATGTCTTGAGAGAGAGAGAGAGAAAAAGAGAGTCAAATCAGAAACGTCCGTTGCACGATGGTTAAAAAAGATTTTTATTTAAATCTATACAAAAATGAAAATAAAAAAATTATTTAAAATAGAAAACAAAATTGATGTCCTTAAAAATTTTGCAAATTTTGGGAAATAACGAAATTCATTATATTTAATAATAATAATAATAATAATAATAATAATAATAATAATAATAATAATAATAATAATAATAATAATAATAATAATAATAATAATAATAATAATAATAATAATAATAATAATAATAATAATAATATAATAATAATAATAATAATATATTATTATTATTATTATTATTATTATTATTATTATTATTATTATTATTATTATTATTATTATTATTATTATTATTATATTATTATATTATTATTATTATTATTATTATTATTATTATTATTGTTATTATGATCATTAATATTATTATTTTATTATTATTATTATTATTATTATTATTATTATTATTATTATTATTATTATTATATTATTATTATTATTATTATTATTATTATTATTATTATTATTATATTATTATTATTATTATTATTATTTATTATGATCATTAATATTATTATTTTATTATTATTATTATTATTATTATTATTATTATTATTATTATTATTATTATTATTATTATTATTATTATTATTATTAATTATTATTATTATTATTATTATTATTATTATTAGTATTATTATTATTATTATTATTATTATTATTATTATTATTATTATTATTATTATTATTATTATTATTATTATTATTATTATTATTATTATTATTATTATTATTATATTATTATTATTATTATTATTATTATTATTATTATTATTATTATTATTATTATTATTATATTATTATTATTATTATTATTATTATTATTATTATTATTATTATTATTATTTATTTGTTTGCACTATTTCATAATCTGTTATATTACATCATGTGCTCTAAGGCGATAAATTGATCGAATTAATCAATCTTTTCTTTCCATTTACAATTAATTTTAATTAATTTATTTTTTATTCATTGA